CCAGGCCCCGCCTCCCTGGAAATGCCCCGCCCCGTCGGTTCTGAGGTGGGGGGCTCCCCGGGGGCATCCCCTCCCTCCCCACGCATCCTCACGCGCCCTGCTCCGCAGTCTACGTCATCATCGGGATTTTCTGCCTGGCTTCCTCCACCGGCCTCTACAGCTGCCTGGCGCCCCTGGTCCGGAGGCTGCCCCTTTGTGCGTGCAGGTGAGCCGGCCAGTGTGCAGGCCTCAGCACCGCACCCGTCCACCCTGCCCACGTCTCTGCTGGCCAGCTCCTAGGTGGTGCACCTGGGGCCAGCCCAGCTGGTGACACTGCCCTTCCCCAGCACTGTCTCCTCTGCTGCAGCCCTGGGGAGAGCTCAGGCGCCTGCGGGGGCGGGGAGAGGGCAGCACTGCCCTCCCACGCTTGTCCTGCGCAGGGTCAGCAGTGGCCAGTAGGGGCCAAGGACAGGGTGGTGGCCAGGCCTCCTGGGGTGTCCCAGGGCAGAGAGTGGCAAGGTGAATACCAGCCAGGCTCTGGGGCCTCAGACAGGGGGCATGGGGCACCTTGGGAGCTCGGTGTGGTCCCATGGGCGTTAGACCAGTTCAGAGGAGCAGGAGAAGGCTGGTCCGGCCATCCACGGGTGGGGAGGGGACCGTGGGGAGGGGTCGTCCTATGTGTTCCCAGCACAGCTGGTGTGGGGACCCTGGCGCCTGCCCCGTGGAGGGCTGTGCCCTGCCTCTGCTCCTGCTGTGTGACTGAGGGCCGTGGGTGTCCCCGGGTGCCAGTGACGAGGCCAGACCAGAGCTCTGCAGGGGCCCGCCAGGCAGAGGGCTGGGTGGGCGGGCGCTGCGGTGGCCCTGACCGCCCCCTGCCGCCCACCAGGGTGCCGGACAACAGCCTGCCCTACTTCCATAAGCGCCCGCAGGTCCGCATGCTGCTGCTGGCGCTGTGCTGTGTGGCCCTCAGCGTGCTGTGGGGCGTCTTCCGCAACGAGGACCAGTGAGTGCTGCCTGGGCCGCCCTCGGGCCCCTCTGCACCCGGGAACTGCC